GACAGCATTGGAAGGGTTCGAGCGAAAAGCATCCCTTTCCAGGCCCGAAGGTCCTCAGCAAAATCCGTCTACTGTACAGCCCAATAATTTTGCAATTTATGGTTTAGGGTTTAGGGGTCTAGGGTTTAGGGTTTAGGGGTTAGGGGTTAAGGGTTTAGGGTCTAGGGTTTTGCAAGCTGAATCGCGCAAAACCTCAGCGGGAATAAGCTCGAAAATCTCACCGGCAAACCTAGTCCGAAGCTAGTAGTCTCAGACGGCAACCTGAATGGTCAAGATGTATGTGTATCCGCTTACTGGGGTGCAGTCTTTTTCCAATTTTCCATACTCACATGTGCATTTGTCTATACCGCGTTTTTCAAATTATGTGTGCCATATTTTCCATATACACATATTTGTGTGCGCAGACAGAATGAGTGTAACGGTATGAGTTTGAATGTACTGTAGCCGAGTTGACCAGAATGGAATACAATGTGCCGTAGTTTGCTGCCTCGGGTACCGGCGTATTGCAGTGCATTCAATGTTAGGCGTGCTGGCTTGTCTGTTTGTCTCTTTGTTCGTCTGGCTGTTGTTTGTGTGTGTGTGTGTGTGTGTGCGTGTGGGTGTGCTTTCGCGAGCGCGTGTGTGGGTTTGTGTGTCTCCGTGTGTGTGAGGGGCTTGTGATTTGTGTCCACACTTAGTCAGATTTGTAGGTCAAGGACTAGTGCACAGTGGGATCGACAAGCCTTCAGCCAACAGTGCAAAGCAAAGCCTTTCTGACACGTGTAATTGCGCAGTGAAGCTAGACCCAAAACCCTATAAACCCTTAAAAGACGCAGTTCATGTCTCGACTAGGCCCAGGCATGAATCCAGCCGGGCACGAAGTATAGAAGAACCGAAGCCTCTAAGTAGGAGCCACCGGAAAACCGTACATGAGGGCTTTGTTGTGGTCTCAATGGGGGAAGTCTAGCCTACCCTGAACCTCCAAACCCCAAATCCCTAAACCCTAAACCCGCGGATGGAGAAAGAGGCTATTGCACTTAAAAAAAAACCCTAAACCGTAAACCCTTAAAGCCTAAACCCCTCAACGCTAAACCCCTAAACCCCTCAGTGCTAAAGCCGGAGGCACAGCAACGCCAAGAAGCCGAGGACGAAGAAAGGATCCTGCAGCTGAAGAGTCCATGGTGCTGTGCTTGCGCGTCTTGCGGTGTGTATCGGTTTCGTAGTTTAGGATTTGGGGTTTAGGATTTGCCTAAACCCTAAACTCTAAACTCTAAACCCTAAACTCTTTAAACCCAAAACTCTAAACTCTAAACCCCTGGGGTTTAGGGTTTACAGGGTTTGGGGTGTGGGATCTTTAGTTCTTCAGGCTTTATAAAAATTTGAAGGTGTGCCAGAACCTTGAGCCTTACGGCCTCGCTTAAGCCCCAGGGTTTAAGGTTTTGGGGTTTAGGGTGTATATATGTATGTATATATATATATATCTACATATATATAGAGGGATGATGATTTGCAGCTCGACATCGATATACTGCCCAAGTTCCCGAAGCCCAAACTCGCGAAAATCCTGAAACCCCCAAAGCGCCGAGCCTACACTAGAAGCCCAAACATTGGAAACCCAATAGCCTCAATCCTTAAGAGTAATGTATAGGGAATCCCAGCAGTAATTGTCCTTAATCCGGAAGAGTAATGTATAGGGAATCCCAGTAGTAATTGTCCTTAATCCGGTTTCCATCTTCTTTGGGGTTTCCTATAAACCAAAAAGCTTTTACAGACAAACCAAGCCTAGTGCTCGGTTTTAAAGGATCGCAGAAGTTTATAGGGTTTAGGGTTTTGGGGTTTAGGGTTTAGGGTCTAGGGGTTGGGATGCCGGTGCCAGTTCCCGAACTCTATCTCTAACTGTGCCTGGCCAATCGACCCAGGCCTTAGTGTTCGGGTGGGTTATTATAGGGTCCTACATAATTACCTATACTATTTTGGGGGCTCCTTTCTATATTTAGAGTGTAATGTAGCCCAGTACCCTATTCTAATGGTTAAGGTGACTAAGGCACCAACATCATGCCCGGTGGAGAAACACTCACGGGAGCGGTTGAAGGGTTGGGTTTCGGCTCGAAGACTTCAGGCTTCCTGGGTTTGGAAGGAATGAAGACTAAGATCCACGGCTGTGACTTCATCGAAGCTCTTGAAGTGCGCAGAAATGGCTTAAGCCCCTGAATGCTAGACCCGAAATGCCTAAACCAGTCTTTATCGTATGCTCCTGAAGCCAAACTTTGTGGTGTAGGAGGCATGCGGAAGAAGAAGAAGCTCAGCGAGAGCTTCGTGCCGCAGAGGAGGTAAGGATCACAGATGTGTTCGCAAAGGTGTGTGGGTGTGTATATGAGAATACATTTGCATTTACATACATAAATTCATACATACATGCATGCATACATACATACATACATACATACATACACATACATACATACCATATCATACATATGTACAAAGATATGGTAGCCCCCCCCCATGAACTACCGACCCTCGTTTT